AACAAGGTAAACACTTTTGTTGTTCTTAATTAACATTTCGTCCGTTAAGTACTCAAAATTTGTACTAACGGTACAAAGAATGAACAGTTATGTCTAAAGTGCTCAGGAATATGTGTAGAAATATAGCAAAAAGGAATCAACCAAATTCTAACCAAATTCAATAAAGACACGAACTTAAAAGGAACCAACAAAATCTGAACTCAAATTCGATGCAGGCACGAACACAAAAGAACGCCATAATGAACTCACAGGAAATGGTAGGTGACGCAAGGTATCGTGGTAACCGTCATGGTTTCTCCCACAAAATCAGGAAATTATATATGTCGCAAAAGTAGACACAGACAAGAACTCTTTAATTGTAATCAAAAACTTCTTGTAGTACGCTCGGAATTTATTTAAATACAAAAAAAAGAAGGAAAAACAGTTTTATTATTTATTTATTTTGTTAGTTTGGTACGTTGTTTATAGACACATAAACAAATTTATTAAACAAAAATGACTAAAATTTCAAAACAAAGAAACATCTGCTAAACATTTAGTTTGAAACGCAAAAAAAATGCATCCTTTGTCCAAAGTTCATTATACCACAAGATTTCTTTAGAGGTGAAAATATATGCGTTAACATGGTTTATGAAACAATATTTGTACAAAGCTCTTTATCTTTATTTCTTATGTGAGTGAGAGTTCAGTCACCACACGGTCTGATGCAATATGGCTTTCCCGCTCATATCTACTATTTGTTAAGACCAAATAACAGATAACAAAATTGCTTTAGTGCTTTGTGTCCAACCATGCAGCATCCTGCACCTAACACATAACCTTATATATACGACTGACCAATGTTACGTCTTACAGCAACATTTATAAGCATTGGGTAAAATCACATGCAATGGTAACAATCTTGGGTTTGATACTCTTGCTGTATCAATTTCACAACTATCATCGAGCTGTATTGCTGCTCTCAAACACTAAACAAGCCAGTAGGGCCTTATCACTTCGATGTCACTCAGCTCCAGTCCCCATTCGCAGGGGGAGCTGTAGCACGTATGCGTAAGAGTCGTTCCACAGCCCTTCTACTTCCTGGCACCCAGTAAACCAAACAAGAACTAGAAACGACCTTCGTCGCAGCCCTGTGACGCCGTGGGCTCCACCGGAATTATGTCACACGCAACAGCCGCTTGCACACAGTTCATAAAGCCCTTAAAAATATAGACTGTCGAAAATATTTGCCATATATGGACACTATTAATTATTTAAGCAAGGCTTAGACTGGGTTTACGCCACCTCGTCGAGACTTCAACATTGTGGGTTAGGTACCCTTATGTTGCCAAACATTGTTGTAGGAATACATGCTATGAATCTAAACCTTTTTTGGGGCTGTTGCTTCATAAATGATTCATACAGTAAACGTCATATCTGCACAAAATGTGCGTGCATGTTTTCAAAACTTATTCTCCGTTTACATATTCTTTAATGTTCAAAGCAAAGGTATTTTGGTAAGAACGTGAAGAACCTATACTTCCTAATGAAACTACGAGTTTATTTATTTTCAGCTGCAAACTTCATCTCAATCTCTTACCGAAACATCAAAAACAGATTTTGTGATAGATTAGATGATTTAATGATAGTATTTTAAACAATTGATTCCACCGAAATTCCACCAGAATTAAAAATAGCTCATACGGAAGTGGTTACAGTCACTGTTGGTACGGGCGGGATTGGAGAAGGTTGCATGTGGTCGATACATAGACAAGGATACAAAGCATTGCTGCACCAGACTCTCTGTCATTATTCTTGGAATAATGTTCGAGTGCAACATCGTTTGTTATGATTTAAAGACACACTCTATAGATCTACACAATTTGTAAAACTTGTTTCCAAATCCAATTTCAACAGTTGTGTATTGATTTATATTATACTGTAACAATAAAAGAATATATGTTTACATATAGTCTTGTCATTCTATCCAAATGACTGGTTTTTTTTCCACACCGATGGATATTTATAATTTACAGTGTATATTATAACAGAAAATGTCAATCAAAATCAACTTTCGGGAAAATGCATTTTTAACCCTCATAGATAACACTGATCAACTTTGAAGAGAAGTATCATGTTATTATTTAACAATGAGTATGAAAAATTAAAAGAATGGTAAGGCCAAATGTAGTACTATATAGATTTTCTCGTAGAGATTTTTCCAAAAATCAACAACAACACCCAGTCATTAAATGATCGTTTTCATACAAAATATAAGAAGCGAAACCGTCGTAAAAAATGTAAATTTTATTGAAAAAAATAATATTCCACAACTCTGTACTGTAAGTAAAATTCTTTTATTTATACAAATTAAACATACTAAGTAGTTGCTTTATTTCAATTCCTTTAATATGATATTATATATTTAATATAGTCATGATATTGTGATAATGTTTGCCGAAATATTTCCTTATAGGACAAAACCAACTCCAAACTAGACTCATTTTTTGTTTGTTTCAAAACCATGGACTTTTTACTGGTCAGACAAACTTGCATGGCATGAGGTTTCAACCATACTGATTTATCCCTAATTCAAGACATCTTATCTACGATAGCATTTCTACCAAGCATTATGCGCACATAAAATGATCATAAAAGCATTAAAACATTTGCTTGTTTCACTTTTAAAATGCAAGTTGAATACATGGGCATATCGTCCGATTTGGACTTTAAATTAGCAGCAAATCAGTCATGCTGCACAACTTTAAAGGTTGATAATTGTTTATGTTAGAAAACACATTGGTCATGGATACAGATAAAATACAGACATCATGGATAATGATTAGCCATAGACGTACATTTCCATTGAGATGAACTAATATATTTTCTGTCTTTCAAAAGGCAAGAAAAGCCAAAATCTTCAACTTTAGAATGTTTTTTAGCCACATTGATGGTTCCAGATTTTTTCAGTACAGTGATTTCGATGCCACATTTTTGAAAACAAATTTCAATTGTACTTCAGTAAATCTTAATATTTTCTGTTGTCTTTTATTCAATGTCACCCGAACAATATAACACCTCAAAGTTAGTGACATATGTAATTTGTCTTGTTCCCAAAAAGAGTATATCTGGACTAGATACCAAATGCTATTGTGTTATAGGACCGTAAAATCTACCTTGTATAACCATTTATAGACATTTGAGACAGTAGATACATGCTTAAGCGAAATAAACAACACATTCTTGCATACATTAACATGTAAAACTGAATTAATTCGAGCTCAAAAGCAATAAAACTAGGACAGAGTAGTAATTTAAATGGAGACAATACCAAATATTTCGAAAGGGTAAGCGTATTAAGTTTTATCGACGCCACCTCCTAAGGCTCCTATAGAAATTTGTTTGTTAATGTCACACGTCCTCAAATTAAGCTCCCAAACAACAAGACGCACTTATGAGCAAAATGAAAACATTGACCTTATGATATTACACAGGGAAAAGAATATTTCCAAATAAGATCAGCCAGTGACCATGAAACTTGGCCATAATCGTCGTCATCCTTCATCTCTTTAAAACCTGTTTGTATATGTGTATGTGAATAGTCGACATCTTTAACAGAAATGTGTTTGGAACAACAGAAAGCAACTTTTTTTTCTAAAGAAACAGTTTCAATTCATTTTACCATACATATTAGTCTATAAACAATTAAGTCAGTAGATATATGTATATTGCTTAATATTCCTTGTTTTGTTGTAATTATCGTAATTAATGGGTTTACGCACCCCTTCCGTTTCAACAGTAATTTAGACCAATTTTATTCCAACATTTTGGTTCTTAGCTTCACCGGTGAGTCCGAGAAGGACGAAACACCTGTATGATGAAGTGTAATTCAATTTGGCATACCGCATCTATCACTAAGTGTGTAAAGGTGAAATCACGTTGGTGTCTCTCGTTCATCTGCCGCTTAATTATACAACATGTAACAGTTTACAGCAACTAAAACAGCGGATATATGTACCAGTAAAGTACTACAATGTGACAATAAAAAAATAATTAAGGCAGTAAATATATTGTATATGTTTGGTAACTTATACAATATATAACAGATAATAAACAATAAGGCAGTAAATACTCGTTTCGGTTAATTATATAATACACAAGAGTACATAAAAAACATAAAGGTAATACATTTATGGCTTGGTAAATGAAACAATATATAAATCAAACCAGTTTGTAAACAATTGATGCATTACAAATATTGTTCGGTAAATTATACAATATACATAATAGTAAATAAACATTTAAGGCTGTATATATATATATATGGTTCGGTAAATTATACAACATATAACATTAACTCAACAATTAAGGCAAAAAATACATGGTTCGGTAAATTATAGATAATAAATCAGTAAATTAACAATTAAGGCAGGAAAGATATGGTTTGGTAAATAAACAATTAAGGCAGTAAATACAAGGTTCAGTAAATTATAGAATATAAATCAGTAAATAAACAATTAAGGCAGTAAATACATGGTTCGGTAAATTATAGAATAAATGTACATAACAGTAAATAAAGAACTAAGGCAGTTAATACAGGGTTCGGTAAATTATAGAATATAAAGCAGTAAAATAACAATTAAGGCAGTAAATACATGATTCGGTTGATTGTGCAATATGTAACAGTTAATATCAATTAAGGCAATAAAATAAAATACCGTTTATAGTAAGTTTTTAACTTTTAATACAATATATTACATGGGCGCTTGTAATTACTTAGACATACATATACTATTTAATATACGTATGCAGTTTCCGGTCAAGGATCTGTCAAATGAGCCCGGGTCTCTGTTACAATATTATCCCCATGATGTCAGTACTTTTGTGACATTACATGGTATTATGCCGGTTACGCTGGCCTGTCTCTTTAACCGGGTACGGTGACAAGCCCCCGGCATTTCGTCATCTTACGTGAAGAACGGCACGTGGATAGGGCCGAGAGAACAGGAAGTCACGGTACCGGGGCTATAAAAGGGCCAGAGCCAAAGGTGATCGTCACATGAAGCTGACGTCAAACAGGTAAGTGCATGCATAGCAGTGATGATGTATTTATATTTAAGAAATAGGCTTCTACTGATTATAAATTTTACGATAAGTACATTTGATTTACAAATTTCTATCAAAATCGTTTTTTTGTTTAGTCTAATATATTTCGTTTTGTTGTAAAAAACTAAAAATAAGGTTTTCCTGTATTACAGTCACCATGAAGTCGTCATCTACCGCTCTTATTGCAATATGTCTCTGCCTCGGCGTGTCATGCGCTCTGGCAGCCGGTTATGGTTCCGGTTACAACAGCTATGATACCTATGGAGGCGGATACAACATGGGTTACGGAAGCGGATACGGAAGTGGATACGGAAGCGGTTACGGTAGTGGATACGGAAGCGGATACGGACAATCAAAGGGATATGGAAAGGGCTACGTCTCTACCGAGACCATTATTAGACAACCTTACATCCAGCCTATGGCCCTCCCACCACCACCACCACCCCAGGGCGGCAACGACGGACTTTTTGGACTCGGAGGAGGATCTGGACTCCTTTGTAAGTATATCCTTATTGCTCCAAATTATCAAAGAAAAAACATCAGTATCGTCATTTCAGTTTAAACATATTTATAACTTTGTTAAAACCAGCTATTCAATATCTGTTGTAATTTTAACGCATTTTTATACTTTAACAGCTTACCGATATTTATAATGTCAAGAATGATTACCGTGCTAAGATATTTTTATATTTTTAAATACTTATTTAAGTCTATTCATATGTCCTAAACCGTATATTGCTTCATTTTCAGTGCTCGGTCTGCCCCTCCTCCTTCTGTTGAGGAACTCCAACTCCGGTTAAACTTCTGACGCTGACACTCATTACATTAGAAGCAACTCTGTGATGTAAGTATATACTCTCATTTAACGACCAGTAACAGTTGTAAGTGTTCCAGTTTTGCATTTCAATGTTGTACGAATCCATCTTGTAACTAATGATCGGTCTCGTTATACTATTGATCTGGTAAGGATATAATACATGATTTATGATAATTATCATCATCCTCACTTACCCATAAATCTGGTATTTGATGACCACCCTAGCTATACTATCAACCGGTAATGATATACTTTTGATATCGTAATTAATTGTCATCCTCACATTCCTATAAATCTGGTAAGTGGTGCTCACCCTCGCTTCATTAAATATCTGATAATTGATCAGTATCCTCGCTATGTTCTTACTATCGTAATCACTAAATATTATGAATATTGATTTAATCTGGTAAATGATAATCACCCTCGCTATACAGTAAATCTTGTAATGCTGTACTATATATGTTATAAGTAAGTATCATCCTTACTATCCTATTAATCTAGTAATTGAATATCTCAGATAGTTTTATATCAGTCTTGCAATATAAAGTTATTTTTGCTTATGAGTTGGTTTTTATATGAATTTTCACATGCTATACATTACGTTTTGTTCAACACCAACGTGTCGAATAGTTTGAATCTATTTTAGTTTCTAACCCGTGTTTCCTTCTCTTTTCAGACATCGCGCAATATTGGCAGTTGACAGTTGGTCTGTGTGTTATTTATTTGTATGCTTGTGCTGTTGATTAAACTATTGAAATGTATATGACGGTATTTGTGGTTTTAATGTTATGGAGTTCTTAGCTATGACAGGTCACATTAGCATAATGTAAAAATGATAAAGTATATAGTGTTCTTACATATTTAAATACTACTCTGTCGTTTGGCACCTATTTGAATGCTGGATATCGGCATCATGTTCATAGTGCGTTAAAATCATATTCTTAATACCAATTTACAGTGGTAAAGAGTATGTCTGGTGGGAAAACGTCTATAAAAACTTGACGAAAAACTTTCACAAACAGACTTTGTAATATAATTATAATATGTTGCGAATCTCAAATTGTTCAATTATGCAAGGAGTCATTCATTTCATCTAGATGAGCAATTAGACAATCACCCGTTCCTTGTAAAGGACAAGACAAGATCTATAACGGTGAAATCGTGGCTCATAACTGTACGAACAACATTTAATAATGACATACACATCTCAGTATATATATCATTTTAAATAATGTTGGTTCTCATGGACACTTTCAAGATACAATATTTACCAAAAATCGATCTCTAATGACATCGTGTGGCTATATAACAAAGACGCTGATGTAGATCCAGATCCGCCTTCCTTGGATTCCTAAATTGGAAATGTATTCTCAGAAACAACACTTGATTGCACGATTTCTCATTTGTTTCACTAAACTAATTACTTAACTCGTAACTATGACGTTTACGACATGAAAACCGCAATTTAAACACATCGTAAAATGTTGCAAAGAAAGGTTTGTTTTCAACATAGTCCATGAAAATAAACGTTCACTGAACAAAGTTCTCTTAGTATTAGAGTTCCATTATCTAGTACCGTATGGTATACAGCGACTCCGGTTATTAATTAACTAGTTTAACTGATATGTATCTAAGGATTGAATACTGCTTTGTCGATCTCAGGGATGATTAATTCATTTAATCTTTAGACAAATTGAGTTGGCCTCAAAACATTTTAAATGCATCATCCCATGATCTCGAGGAAAACAGATTCAATTATTAAATGTGTATCTAGAAACGAGTTAAAAAAAGTCGTACGAATGAGATAAAAATATCTTATATCGTTCCCACAACTTTATACCTCGTTCGTTCGACCTTTGTTAGGTACCTCATTCAATGACGAGGGGTGTCCCAAATGGTGTTTAGTGATTACAAACCAGATAATACAGCTTCCTTGTTATATAAAGAGTGTATGATGATATGGCATTAGTTTTTTTAGACGATGGAAAAGATTGTTGAGACTAGGGAGATAATCAAATCCAAGTGATAGATCAACAAACACATGTATCCAAACTTAAACTATCTTAGCATCGATTTACATTTTTGGCTGTTCCTCTTAATGAATGAAACTAGAAATATTGAAATATAGCAACACCTTGTCCGAAATTACCAAACAAGTTTACTGTTCTTATCTAAACAAGTCATATGACACAGTGGTCGAAGTCGACTGTATTACAAACTGATGTTGGAGGCAACATATTGCGAGAAGCAAAGCATAAAGAAAAGCCTAGCCTGATGTCCAATCCAATTGACATATATAAAGTCAATAACATCAATTAAATAAAGAAAAATGCCTGAGTTTCCGATGAGCTTTGAAGCATACATCTACGTATGTATGAAATAAGTAATCAGCGACGACAATCAGCAGCGTGGTCGATGGAATAGAGTTGAAGTTTGTATTTTTCCATGAAATCGATCGATAAAGATAGGTTATACAGTCAGTTGATTTATATTTCCAGTAGTAACAGAGTGATAGAAAAGCAAGTAAGTGTTGTTTCCTACCTGTGTGTCTGTTAAACAAGGAGGGATCACAAACCGACGTCTTCTGTGGTTGGTGATGTACCGTCAGGTTGTTGTAATTTTCATTTTATCAGCTGGCAAGTAAGCAATTGCCCTAGTATATCTATTATACTAGAAAATTCTGTTTCGACTTGTAGTGTACATGTTTAAATATTTAGTTAACTATTATAAAATGTATGCATATTTGAATTCGATTTTAGCAATCTAACGTAAAGATCGATTAAGAGATATATTAATGTTCAATTATCAACTTGTCACGTTGTTTGTTTCCAGGGTATGGACCAATAATTTGGAGAATTCATACCCCCTGTGATTGAGGACACTATGTATTGATTTAATATATATACTTACCAATCGGGATTCAAATATACTCTCAAATGAAACATAAACCGGCATCAGTTACATGAAGAAGGTCAAGAACCACCATAAGATGTATTCCATGTGTACAAAGACTTATAAGTTGAAATACGTAATGAGTTTTCACAGTCCTTAGAAATATGAATAACGGAATTGTTTGGTTTGCAAAACAAAGGCTTAAGTCTGACCTGAAATGGTTTGAGACTGAAGTGTGAAAAAATCAATGCCATTTTGTATACTAACATGATCTGAAAAGTCACGAGGAAGCAGTTGATTGTAATTTAAGCAACATTTCTTGGTAATGGACAGCACTTTTAGAGAAACATCATAACACAAACACCAAAAAGCGACACGACAGGAGGAAACTTGTTCATAGCGACGAAGAATAAAAGGCAACAAGATTTTCTGTGAGACGCAAATAAATCGTTTTACAAGGGTGTCAGTTACTCGAAATCTAGAAAAAGGACCCCGCCTAATTTTTTCTTCAGAATTATTCTGTACATGAAAACAAAGTTGACAATATTAATGATTTCTTCGTCCGTTAAGATACTATTGATATAATATATAGTTATTGGAGAAGCCCATCGTCTATTGGTGATGTCGACAAGTCAGTTTATCTGGTCACACTTCAGTATTATAGTGTAGTTAAAACATTGTTTATGCAATTTATCATTTCTGATAAAACAAAGGCAAAAATTGTGTCTTACAAAACACAAAATTGCCCTGAAATTTTAATCGTGAGGCATCTCTTCTATGGGTGATGGCGACGGTAAGAGGGCCGGTTTATCTTTCAGCAATGTATTGTTATAGCACAGTTAATGCATTGTAAATTATTATCTATTTATTTCTGATACAAACAAATATAATTTCGCACATAATACATCTTTACGCTGAAATATCATGATCGAACAACTTTAGGCAATCAGATTTCAAATAATTACAGATAAGGATTTTTTAAGCAACAAAGTGGTTGACTTTGCTGGCGTACTATCAGTCACTGAGGTTGGCTGTACCATAGTGGCTGGAATTCAATCCGGCATGGTTTACAGACACTAGAGAGATTAAGCAAATGTTGTACCCGAAAATTGTTATTTACAACAGCTTTCCTTTGCCGCTCTCTTTTACATAAAATTCGGAACACCTTAGACATAGATGTTTCATCCTTTTGACATTACGTACTTTCGATAATGGTGCGGTAAACTTTTATTTTGCGATAATTCCTTCATTAAAAAAAAGTTTGATTGTGAGAGTGTGTGTCTAGTCAATTGGTAGTAAAATCTCCTATATTTTGATTGTGAGAGTGTGTGTCTTGTCAATTGGTAGTAAAATCTGCTATAGTTTGATTGTGAGAGTGTGTGTCTAGTCAATTTGTAGGATAATTACCTATTGTTTGATTGTGAGAGTGTGTGTCTAATCAATTGGTAGTATAATCTCATATTGTTTGAATTGTGAGAAAATCTGTCTTGTTAATAAGTTGTGCAATTACCTATGACAAAATTATGAAAAAAATCGGTTTACCTTGTCACGTCGTAAATATATCTACTTCAATTTCTAAAAAAACCCACATTTTCACGACATTTTGTACAAATGAGTGAATCTACATTATCATAATATGTTTTTATTGTTAATTTACTAAAGTAGCTATGATTTTCACAACCAGATTGTTGACGTCATTATTATTGTTCTCGGTTTTGCTGTTCTAGAAGAATTAAATACTCATAAACGATCAGTGCATGGAAAATGGGACAGAGACTACTTTAGCCTATGTCTTTATGCATCTGGTTTCTGATTGAAGAAAAAGTCAACAGAAAGAATTCACTTAACGATACCGAAATAAGCAGGAATCTATATACATACCAACGACATACAACACAATCGTGTCTGGTTATGATGTGATTGTTAAATTGTAAACAAATTTTCCATCCTTTTAGCAGAATTGCCGAGTCGTCTGGAAACTATTCAAAAGACTTTGAATTGAAATGAAAGTTTATAGTATGGTTTCAACAAACATTAATTCAGACGCCTTTTCCTACTTCAAATGATTTTTTGTGTGTGTGGTTGTGTTTTCAAGGCACGACAAAGCGAGAGTTATAATATTATGTAAGAATTATGAAAATGAATATTTACAAAACTTATGTTATCAAATCAACAAAACCACTTCTTAAAAAAAAGAAGATTGCAAATGTTTCTTTTCAATTTTAATCAACATAACAACAGCACAATCATACAAATAAATAACACACAGACCAACTATCAACTGCCAATATTGCGCGATGTCTGAAAAGAGAGGAAAACACAATTAAGAAAACATGAATGCAAAAACCAAACATATTTTGATGTGGATTATTTAGAGCATCTTGGATATATCCTTACAAAAAACATTTTGAGCTTATTAAGGGCGAAAAAATTCTTTCAGATTGATATAGTAAACATTGGATCAGTCCTACACAATAATGAAAGAGAAGGCTGTCATTGACCTAATAGATAGTGATATACTTACATCTCAGAGTTGCTTCTAATGTAATGAGTGTCAGCGTCAGAAGTTTAACCGGAGTTAGAGTTCCTCAACAGAAGGAGGAGGGGCAGACCGAGCACTGGAAATGAAGCAATATACGTTATAGGACAATTATACGACATACATCTAAATCATATCATATTGACGGTTAACTCTTATCGATGAAAGAAAATCTGCAAAAATAAGGCAGTATAAGGAGTAAATGACGTCACAGTATCAACAGACTTGAAATACATCGCTGACATGGAATACAGAATCGGACGATATTGTCTACAACACAGTGGATAAGTTGTAAACACATAAGATGAGGAACAATTTTACAAAAAAATG